TAAAGCTGCCTACTTTTATTATAACAGATCTACAGAGCTTCCTCACACTAATCAATCACCCTGTATACTATTTTTAGCTCTCTAAATAAAATTTAAAAATTTAGTTCCCATTTATTTATTATGAAGACCATAAGGTTTGTATTTAGCAGTTTAGAATAAAAAAGTAAAAATATGTATTTTTTTGGCGTTTTTGTGTTTCATGGATAATTTTTTTCGCTCACTGATAAAAATGTTTCTTCAGTTAAACATTATTTCTAAAAGTGTTCTGGTGCGATTCGTTGTATTGTTATTATTTTGTTTAAAATGGCTCACAATAACTACAATAATGATTACACATTCGGCGAAATGACGGACATGCACTTATGTTTTGGACTCGCTTCTGGAAATGCCAATGAAGCTCGCAGACTTTATCAGGAGCGCTTTCCAAATAGGCATCTTCCATGCGCTAAGACGTTTTCTAGAATTGACGATAGACTTCGGGAAACTGGTACATTTAAGAAAAACTCTAGTAACAGTGGAAGACAAAATTATGTGAGAACTCCTGCTTTGGAAGAAGCAATTTTGGATAGGGTAGCTGAAACCCCATCGACAAGTACCAGAAAAATAGCAAATGGTAAGTAATTACTTATTTATTATTTTAGCTACCCCGTACCTTATCGTATAAAACTAGTTTTTTTACTTGTTATTGCTTCTCTTACATTTCACGACTTTTCGTATCGAAAAGAGTTGCGTTATGCAGAAAAAATCTGATTTCCCAAATCAATGGATTCTCTTTCTTAACTATTCACTACACAGATTCTCTCATTTAATTTCAGAAGTGGGAGTCGGACGTAACACGGTATGGAAAGTTTTGCGTGAACAACAATTGTACCCTTACCACATTCAAAAAGTTCAGGCACTTAAAGCTACTGATTATGAGCCGCGAGTTATCTTTTCTAAATGGTTTCTTGGAAGATGTAATCAAGATGCAATGTTTCTTAATAAAGTGCTATTTACCGATGAAGCTGGTTTCACTAGAGATGGTATAATAAATTTTCGAAATATGCATGAATGGGCTGAAGATAACCCTCACGCGGTTGTTGAACGTCACCACCAGGATAAATTTTCAATAAACGTCTGGGCTGGAGTTATTGATAATTACCTTATTGGACCATTTGTTTTGCCGAATAGGTTAAATGGAGCAGCATACAGGCTTTTTTTGGAAAATAACTTACATGAGCTTCTTGATAATATTCCGATTCAAATCAGACATAACATGTGGTTTATGCATGATGGAGCTCCACCACATTACAGCCTTGAAGCTAGACAGCACCTTAACGAAAGATTTGAGGGTAGAGTAATTGGCAGAGGTTGTCCTGTTAACTGGCCACCTCGTTCACCAGATCTAAATCCAATGGATTTTTTTGTTTGGGGTTATTTAAAATCATTGGTTTATTCCAGTCCTGTTGAAACAGTTGAAGAATTGGAAGAACGAGTTTTTCATCATTGCGAAGTTCTTAGGAATAATCCTGAAGTATTTTTTCGTGTAAGACAGTCTATGATGCGACGGTTGCGCTTGTGTGTGGAAACCAATGGTCGCCACATTGAGCATCTGCTTTAATTTTTTTTTATTTGTTTTTTTAGAATAAATATTTTTTTAAACCGTTTCTTATTATTAAATAAAAATAGTCCCACCACGACATTTGAACTACAATTATTTAGAGAGAGCTAAAAAAGTTATTTTTATTTACGAGATTCACCGAGGTAATTTAGGAAAATTGAAAATTAAGCTAAAGTGGACGAATATCTTTGGATGATGTTTTCTCGGAAACGGCTGCTCCAATCGAGATCAAACAAGTATTCCTTTTTGACGTAGTTTTCAATGTAGAATGTAAAAAAAAATATGGATAAGTCATTACCAAAAACACAAACAAGTTATGAATAATCAAAATTTTCAAAAAATTCCCAAGTACACCCCTGACGAAATAATTTCTTTTTGAAGGTGTCAAAAGGTCACTATTATTGATCATATTTAACAGCCAAAATTTGGTTCTTTTATTTGTTTCCATTTTTAAGAAAATTCAAAAAATCAAAATAAAAAAAATGATTTCGAGAGGCTGTTGCTCGCTTAGGGGGCACTTTAGGACATAGGTCTATAGGAACTTTTTTTCCATTTTTTGGTTAAGGAATCTGCCTGAGAATTTTGGGACGCATTTTAAAGGACGCCCTGTATATAATAAAACATCACCAAATCGCATAATAGTATTCAAAATGATTTTCTTTAGAAATATTTTATTGATTTCTTACATTTTCAGTTTAATAGTATTTGCTTTCATAGGCGCCGGAACTCAAAAATTGCTTTGTGTGCCTGGCCTCTATGCGGGTAATGGAAGCTATCACTTCCCCCTCCCCCCAACCACCTCCACACCTCACTTAAAGGCACCACTTAAAAGTATTAAAAAAGCTATTTTAAAGCGTTGATTTTATGAAAGTTTTCTTAACAAAAAAAAAAGGGTATTGTCAAATGTCCAATTGCTGGATAGGCTGGAGGCTCTCACCTAAATCGGGATATCTGGCATCTGGCAACCCTATATGCTCGTTGCAGCCACCACTGGTATACAGTGCTAGAGTTCCAATGCAATAAGTAGAAACACAAAATAAAACATTTATTACCTATCATGAATTTAGAAGGAAATTTTTGATGATTTATTAATGCACATATAATGGAATATTGTATATATACAGGGTGGCTATTTGAAAATGAAACAGAGCCAATTTTGGGCACCCCAGGTCATTTACGAGAAAACGCTTGGACCTGTCAATTTTTGATTTTAGAAGGAAACAATTTTTTGCTAGTTTCACCCCCTCAATGAAAACCCTTTAGCAAGAGTGAAACTTACTCCTAAAATCTTAAATGGAAAGAGGGGTCAAATAATAGCTTATTTTGAAGGTATTATTACATAGATTATGACCCCCGGGTATTAAAACGCTATTGTCTTTCTAGCCATGATCTTTTAAAGATTTGTGTTTTCTGTAAAATTTTACCAGTTATTCGAGTAAATGCTGAAAATGCTGACCCTGGGCCTCCATGCAAAAATAGAGGTTATATCCAAAACGGTCTCGGACATTTTGAAGCATCTATGGGGTGATCTGATGTTTTTAAGTTGCCTCATTAAAAATCTAACAAGCCTAGATCCGGAGACAGTAGATGCCACTCAATACTTTCTCTTTTTCCGATCCATTGACTTGGAAATGTTTGATTCAAATACTGACGAACAGTGGAATATTAAGTTGTTTGCTATGTACTAATGTACTGATCGTCATTTTTAATCAATTCTAGTAATGCTGAATAAATTGCATTTTCTATTAATTCCAGATACATTTCTGCGGTTAAACTTTAGGTAAAAAAAGGGGTTAATTATACGGTTACCAAAAATGCCTGCCCAAACCTTCAGTTTTTCCGGATGTTGCATATGCACTTTATGGAATATTCTGGGATTTAAATCGGATCAATAAAGACAGTTGTGACGATGTACCGTACCATTTAGAAAAAAAGTGCATTCTTCTGAAAACCACACGTTGAAAAAAAATTGCTGATCATGTATTGCCCGTTCAGTCATAATTTTACAAAATTGTAATCAACTATCAAAATCGTCTTTGTTAAGTTCTTTTACCAAATGTATTTTGTAGGGATGAAACTTGTGTTTTTTCAATATCTCCTGAATGCTACTTCTTTTAATACCAGATGATATCGCCAACTATCTTGTACTCAATGTGTGTTTTTGAACAACATACCTTTAAGTCGCCACCTCAGTTGCTTCATTTACTACAGCATTTTCCATTTTTACTTTACAGCCACCAAAGAATGTCATCTGATAACAATAATTAAAAGTCACAGGAATAAAACATAGATAGTAGCGATGTAAAACTTGGAGGTTATTATTTAGGTAAAAATACCTTCACCATATTTCCATTAAAGATTTTACTGGTGAGTCTCACCTCCGATAGAGAGTTTTTGCTTAGGAGGTGAAACTGGCAGAAAAATGCTTCCCCCTCAAATCAAAAATTCACAGGTCCGAATGTTTTTTGGTAGATGACCTGGTTTCTCGCCAATACTACTAGAGAGCTGTTTTTGACTCCAAATGAACGTTTTCTTCTAACTGTGCTTGATCGGGAGCAACTTTCAATGTTCTCTCTTCTCCCCTCAAGCATTTGCACAATAACATATGTTCAGATCTCTTGTCTTGATAATTGTAGATCATTATTAGTCGTTCTTTTTTGTTGTCATAGGGTTTTATACACGAAGAATAATAAACAAGTCCAAGTTCAATGCGTCACAGCGACTTTTTTATCACAAAAATACAGCTCCGAACGATAATATTTTTTTGTGCTGCCACTTTAGAAAATGCGTTTTTCCGATCATTTTTTAGCTCAAAAAGTGCATCGTTGCCGGTCTAGAGCGGAAAATTGATATAACTGCTCGGAAAAGTGATATAACTGCTCGGTAAAATACCTAATTTCCCGAGCTCTTATCCAATATTATTGATAACCAAATATTATGATTGATTAAGTGTATTTATGGTGTATGCTTTCACGGCTCCGCCTTCGATGTCGCACTGAAACTTGCATGCTCGCCTTGTAAAGTATCACTTTCTGAGCTTAACACGTAAATAACTATATCGAGGCATCCTGTCGCTATACCAACTTGAGCCACGACAGCTTCTTTATTTTACTTATTGGCAATTTTTGTCCACGTTGTGGTTGCTCCGCACCCAGTTTAAAACTGCTCTGGGTGCTTGCGCACCCAGAGCCCCGAGGATTCGGCGCCTATGTTTGCTTTAGGTAAGTTTTATCTTTTTTAGTTATACATTTTAATGTGTTTTACAGGAAACGGTGCAACGACGGCAAATGAGTGAGACTTGTGCAGTAAGAGCTCCCGAGAAATTGATTAAATAGTGGTAAATTTCCTGTAAAAAATTGTGAAATCTACGATAATTAAACTGTGAGTGCACGTTGTATTACCAGTAGTAGTTTCAAGTAAGAAAAATAGTTTATAACGAACTTATTGCAATTAATAGATTTATAGTGGGCCATACACATTAAATAAATATATAATGAGTCAGAAGAACACAAGAAATAATTCTCAAAGTGGAATTATGGACGAAAATGCAATAGAACAACTCGTCTCAAAGGTATGTCAGAAAATTATGTCTAGATTAGAAAAAAAAATTGATAAGAACTTTAGTAAAATGAATCAAAATGTTGATAATTTATCAGAAAAAATAAAAGAAATAATGGAACCAATAAAAACCAACGAAAAGGACATGTACATACTAAATAATAAGCTGGATGATTTGGAAACATACCAAAGAAGCAAAATGCTAAGATTTGATGGTTTGAAAGAGGGTTACAACGAAAATTTAGTCTCTATAGCTACTGATTTGATAAGCAACACTATGAAAATCAAATGCAGCAATTTGGATATATCTAATATCTATAGACTAGGGAAAAAGATAAAGATAAATCTAGAACCATTATTATTGATTTTGTAACCTATTTAAAAAAGTATGAAATTCTAAAAGCCAAGGGGACTCTAAAAAATACTGGAATGTTTCTTAACGAAATCTAACAAACAGAGTTTCCTATGAAGGCAAAAAATAAATATGGTAAAAAGGAGGTATGGAGCTGGAATGGTAACATATTTGCCAAGAAAAATGATAATATTAACAAAATCAGTTTAGAGGTCGACATTTAACAATCAATAATATCCCGTGTGTGGTCGTCATTAGGTCGCACTAGCAGAATCGAATTTTAATGGCCTTTGGATTTTTTGCTTTTGTTTCTTCGCGATAAAAAGACTAATATCTACACAAAGATTGCCTATTAACGTTTAATTTATTTTTCATTTTGTGTACATGATATTAAAATTTATATCAATCTGGGATGGGACAAAATATCTTAAAGGTTATAAATATATTTTAAATATTCTCCAAATCGTATTTATTTTTATTAGTAACATGGGAAATCATCTTAGCATTAAATATAGCATTTAAAGTTACATTTAATTTTTTAATCTTATTTTAAAACACTATTTATATGTGTTAACTAATACTATTCTTGTATCTTATACCTACATATATTTTTTCTCTATCAATTTGTAAGATATTCTACAAATTATATATATTATTATATTATGAAAAAATGAACTAAATGGTCTGTGTAATGTAATAATTAAATAAAATAAGAAATAAATATAATAGTTTTATAATTGAAAGAAATTTGTACCGTAACAATATTATAACTAAATAAAATTTGTGGCACAGTGTAATCTAAATATCGGTATGAGATCAAATGAAAATTGTTCTTTGTTCCTTAGTTACATCTCTCTGTATTTCATATTCATAGAAATGCTTTCTTTGGCACTCCTAAAACTTAAAAATGAAGACAAAGTTAATATTAACTAAATACAATTTTAGATTTTATATAAGTAATTTGGAATCACACACAGTATATCAAATTATAACTAGAACCTGTGTCTGTTCTATTGGTCAAAAGAAAATTTATTAGGGCTTGACTTTAGAGATATATAGAAGTTTGTTGAAAAAAAAAGGACAGTGGCCTTAGTCCTCTCACAACTCGTAATATAATATAATAAATTAAAATATTATATTCCTTTCGCCCCTGCTGCTAGAGGTATGCTCCACTCTCCGCTCTACTCTGAATAAGCATCCCATTTAACAAGAAAGACAGGCAATTTCAACTGATCAATACTAAATCAAATAGAGTACATAAGCCAGTGTTGCCAATGTCAAATGTAAAAATTATCCGCCGAGCACTCTGAAATTACCCACAATTATCCCTCCCTTGAGAAAAGGGCGGCAATTTTGAATAATTTGTTTATTTATGAATATAAGGAAGCAATAATGTACCAACACAATAAACAATATAATTTATTTTTCACTAACTAACAAATAATAAACATAAAAGAATTAAAAACGAGCTTAACTAAACAATATACTTATAAATTAGTTAAATAAGTAGAACAGAAGTAAAAGTTGGAAATGCTTTTGCCAGTTCTCCCACTTTATACACATAAATTGACAGGTTGGCAGCGGATTTCACCGAAGTGGACGCGATACATTGGCGTACAAAATTATTTTATAGATGTTAATAATAATTTCGAGTAAATAGTTTAATAAATTGTGAATAGCTGTTGAAATTTTGTAAAATTATAATTTGAATATTATAATACATGTTTAATAATTATTTATAATCCATAAATACATGCGATTGTCCGGTTCCGCTGATAACAATTTAAAATTACTTATTCTATGAAACGACACTGGCAGGTAAACATTACTGTGAAATTCTCGGAGCCGCCCGACGTGGTTTGACGTTTACCCCCTCTCTACCTACCAAAAGACTTTTCAACTTTTACTTTCTCTATACCTACATATAAAAACGTATTTTTTTTGGAAAATTAAAAACATCTTAATCTTTTTTTCGCCATATGGCTGCATTTAGCATATTCTTATTTGGGGTAAATGTAACAAGTCCCCCACGAGAATTTATATAATCTTTTGTTGTTAAAATTGCCCTTAAAGTATTAGTACTTAATAAATTTCTCTTGTCCGTTTTAATATTAAACACATTGCTAAATATTCTTTCCACACTGGCATTAGAAAAAGGAAGGATTAAAAGTAATGATATTAATATTTTTAAATTAGGAAATAAAGTTACATTTGCCGCATTTCTTAAACTAAAGATTTGTCCCCAGTACGTCTCGGCATTATTTGTATCTAGATTTAACATTTTAAAATTTAATAGCGCGTGCTGACGCCATTCATTTTCTAAACTCTGTTTATTTACATGATTTTCTAAATCAGGAAATCGGACAAAAATATTCTGAAGAGATTTTATTTCAAAAGATTGCGCACTTTTGGGATCAACAATAGATAACAAATTGAAAATTTCATCTTCAAATGTAAAACGTTTCTTAATATTATTTACTAACTCGATGTAAAAGTTCTGAATACTTAAAAAAAAAACATTTAATTATTCTTCATCAACTTCCTTTAAATTTTGTATTGAATCTGTTGCTTGCATGCCCAAATAAACTTTGTTAATTTTTATAAAATTATGAGAATTAGTGTGATCCAATAAAAAAATATCCGCATTTCTAATAATAGAAATATTTAGAAAATTTGAACATATGGTTTTTAACAAATTTTCTATTTCGGGTTTCAATTTATATAATAAAGGCCTTTCTGATTGAAATAATTTATTAAACCCAGTCATAATGTCTAAGATATAGCTCATGAATTCTAAATAGATTTGTGTAAATTTGTTGTCCATTGTCAATACCATTTATTCAGTAGTGATTGATGGGTCCTCAAATAACAATTCTTGTAAATATAATTTTAAAGGTTCATACTGCTCTAAAATTCTGTCAACACATTCTTTTAAAGATAGCCAACGTGTTGTTGCCGGAGAAAGAATTTTATGAATTTCAACTTTAAAAAATAATTGGAATTCTTCAAATTTCTTTACTCTGGAAGCACTACGGTTGAAATGGCTCCCTAGATTTCTTATTAAATCCTCCACAGATCTAGGCAGCTTTAAACAGGCTTTTGAAGTTGCTAAATGCGACATGTGGCAAGAACACTTCACATTTACGATGTTAGGAAGTTTTTCTTTTAGTACAGAAAAAACAGAAAGGTGTTTACCTACCATGACATTTGTCGTGTCTGATGAAAAACCTACAAAATTTGATAAAGGTATATTCCTGGATGAAATTGTATTGATCAACAAATTATATAAATCCTTTGCTGTACCAGTTGGTCCAACTTCAACAATATCAAAAAATTTTGTGGTAACAATATTTTTCTCATTATCATAGAAAATTACAGAAAATGCACACTGCTTCTTGACAGAGGTGTCGGTCGTTTCATCCATAATTATTGAAAAAAATGCAGTAGGTTGATGTAGCTTTTGACCGTTTTAAATTAATTCCCTTGGCAATTTGAGAATCTGGGAAAATATTTTTAATTAATGGTGACAAGTTGTCCATCAGTCTAAATGGAAGGTTATTTGTAGCCAAAAGACCACACAGTTTTATCTCAGCATTTTTTATGTTATTTTCTAATTCAGTACTTTTAAGGCAATCTGAAATTTTTGAATTACTTGCAATTTGCTTGTAGTTAAATTTATGATTTTCAGAGGCAGAATGTCTTAGAATTACAGACTTATGTGCTAGCATTTCATGATTACACACTATACAAGAAGCTAAGTCGTTGTTGGTTTTAGCAGATTTATTTTTAGATTTTGTGAGCCATCCTTTAAATTTTTCATCACTTAGCCACTTGTTACAAAAGATATAAGATCGCTTTTTAGACTCCCTTTTAATCCTTTGTTTTTTGGGTTTGTTTTCACTGTTACTGTCACTGTCACTAGTGTCTTTACTCAATTTTGCTACTTCTACATCAGATGTAGTTTTTTTTCGATTCTGTAAACAAGTAAAAATTTTTACATTCAACTATTTTTAAACAATCTAAATTTTTAAATATTTTTACTAATAATTTATTAGGTTACTTACGGATTCTTTGGAAATATTACAAAAATTAGTAGGATGGTCTTGAGTACTTTTAGATGGACCAGGATCTTCATTTAGTTTTGTATTCTAAAAAAAAATTGACATTTAATAAGTCTATTATATACATTTATGGATAAGTGTGATTCTTACCTTAATCAACCAGCGCTCCATTATCAAACATCTTAAATTTATACATTAACGGAATAATATACCATCAACTTCTATCTTTTAATAATAAACAATAAACAACACATTAACCAAAAAACAAAGCACCTGACACAACCCATAGAGATATATAATATAGAGTAAGGTATAAGGTCTTGTGCATGCAAAAGGAAATGTAATGCCGATAGAAAGAGAACAGACTAGGAATTATGCATATCTGAAACCTAGTTGATTGTCTCTCTTTCTCTAAGACAGTTAGATGCTCCGGATCAACTCACCTCCTCTATATAATAAAACTATGGCACAATCATCAATGCAAGTTGCATTTTGCAACACACATAACACATAAGTTATGTTGGCGCCATAGATGTTGGCGCTTGGGAAACGCAAATATATTTATGAAGTGCCACCGCCACCTATTGACCACACCTCTTTCAACGGTTCGTTGGTGCTATTTTTGCAGTTTTTGAGCCTTTTATAAATAATCCACAAATTACACACAAAAACATAGTGTTAGAAAATTACCCCCAAGTGGTTCAAATTACCCCACTTTCGGGTAATTACCCGCAAATTGGTAACACTGACATAAGCAGTGCTTATAGTGTCGAACAGTGTCGATCTGACCCGTCCGATAACGAAGACACTTATTCACATATAAATATAGTATTTTTAATACAAATCCAGATGCACGTCAGAGATCATTTATGACGTCACGGCCTTACAGTGTTGCCTAATCGTCAGAATAGTTGAGGAATTTAGAATTTTTTAAAATTGTAAGGTTATGTATTTGTTATGTTACTATATAGTAGGAAAAATTAGTTTTAAATGTATATAACTAACGGAAAATATTGAATTCCTTTATGAATAATAAACATCTGAACAAAAAAGCTTTAAACATATTATGCAAGTCATGGAAAGTAAAACTGTATTGCAGATGGATCAAAATTGGTTTAGAATTATCACAGAAAATATCTAAAACTAATTTAATTTCACCAAGAAAGTTATTTAACAGAACTACATTTAAGTTATAAACCACAACACCCCATAAAATTAAAGAGGTCATTGAAAAAATGAAAACTACAAAGGCATGTGGAGGATTCATAATATCAGTAGATACCTATACTTAAAGAATTAAAGTTTGAAAATGCTAAAATATTTGAATACAAGAAGGAAATTGTTAAAATATTTGAGTAGGTGCTTTAGTAAATCTCACTTTCAGTAACGGTTCTGTAGCTCAAGTATTCAAGATAGCCAGAAATGTTTCAAAAATAAACAGATATCGCTACTTCTTTTCAACTCTAAAGTTATCGAAACATGTATGAACAATAGATTCATCACTCAAACATCAAGATTCTCCATTCTATCAGCTTCAAAAGACATTTGAAAAATGTTATTCTCAGTCAAATATTTTTTTGATATCTTGGAATAAATTAAATAAAAATACAGATATATAAGAAATATATCAAACTGTTTATTGTTTTAAAAATTAGACAATGTTTTTTTTTTAATTACACTATTTTCTCATAAAAAAACAATTATTCATCTACTAATCTTCATTATTCCTATAAAATTCTTTTATTTCTCCTAATCCAGATCACAAGTATTTGAATCGCAGTCATCGATATCGCTATTAGGGTTAATTATAATAAAAATAATTTCCAATCTATTAAAAAATCCCTCTCTGCCAATATGTTTATTATAATATTGCTTAGAAAGGTCACAAATAAGTTCAATGAAGTTAAAAATAAAATGGCAGGGAAGATTACGTAATACTTTGTCTATATTGTTCTGCTTAGGTAATTATCTACCATATATTTCTTTGGCGGTTTGCACCTGAAAAAAGAATGTTTTATTTATTTCTATTTAGTTGCCATTTCGTATAACGTGTGTCAATATCACTATATTCTAAACTGTAATATCGACACAACACATTATATCAATGATTTAATGTAAGGTACACCGTTATATCAAATCTTGTAACTTCATTTTTAATTTTTTGATATTGTTTTAAAGTTTATTTCTGAAAAAAAGGCATTTTTGGGTTTCACTGTACATCTTGAAATGTGTAAAACATGTAGATGTTTATTGACCACTGTAATTAAATTTTTCCAATTAAATTGTCTTTATATGATTGCTAGAATAGCGTATCTACCATTAAATCTTCAATATGATGTGTCATTTCAATATTAATATTTTTTTTTATTGATTTACACAATTACTGATACCTTAATTTGCTTCAAATTTGGTTTTATCTCTTGCCATCGATTTTTGTAGGTCTAACACCCTTTGTCATTATTTTCCCAGGAGCTGTTTAATGTTTCATTTTGAACGATACATGTTTCATCAATGACAACGAACTGCTTCTGTTGTAATTCTATAATTTCTTAAAAACTGACCTATTTACAGTTCACGTCTTGGTTATCTTTTTTCCTTCATTCTTTTAATACAGTTGACAATGATGCAATATAGCCATTAAACAGTTTTTCTCTTAAAGGTTCCAAAGTTATATGTTGACCTGCAAATAAGTATGTATTTATATTACTGTATACAAATTAAAACTTTTATAGGTAATATAAATAAATTATGATTGAATAAATAGATTTGTCTTTATACTTACTTGTTTCATACATATTATAAATACCACTTCCGATTCCACTTGTATCCAGTGTTATTGTATTAGTAGGTAATCCTTTGTTTGTATGAATGCTTTTTAATTAGCGATTTTAATTATTCATTATTCTTGACTGCTTGCCAAATACTACTGACAGTAGAAATATTTTTATTTAGAGATGCTGCAACACACTAAAAAAAGACAAGAAAATAATTTCATATTTCTATTAAATTTTATAAATTGTAACTTACCTCTCTTACAGCAGTTAAAGGTAAACGTGGTCCATCATTATCACGCTCTCATTCAAAATAATGGATTAAAGAAGCTATCAACTCCTTACAAGGACTATTTAGTTTTTTAGGCATTTTGTATATAAAAATTAAACGACAAATAATCAGCTTATACACTCTATGGTTGTTTTGAAAAACAGTTTTTTATAATTATAACTGGCAAAGCTTAAAAATACAGGCAAAAGGATTTTAAATTACAGAAAACAAAATGCACAATCAATAATTAACTAAACATAACCTAACTAAATCAGTGAAATTTTTTAAAAAGGGGTTGCAACACCGCAACAAGGTGTACCAATTGCTGTAATGACATTTCTTCTCTATAAATACGAGCTTCATGGGCGTACAGAATGTCAAAATTATTTAATGTAAAATATTATTTTTTGAGTACTAAACATTTAATAATGTTTTTATAAATTTTATATTATCAAGAATTAGACATGTATAAACTAAATAATTTAAATAATTCTTAAAATTATCAAAATAATCACCATAACAGTTTTCGACTTTTTAGTAATATGACTACGTTCATGAATGCTCGTGACTATACGTGACTTTTTCGGATTATTAGCTTAGTTAGGGACATTTTAATTAGTTGGTAGTACTATGACGAATGACCGACGTCATTGCTGACGTGCATCGGGATTTGTATTAAAAATACTATATAGGGTTTGTTCCGGTTTCTTTAAAATTTGATGCAGACGTTCCGAGATCCAGTGGAACAGCTCAATTGCAAATAATTCATCGCGTACAACTTTTAAACTATTCACTGGTCAACTACCTAGTCAGGTGATAGTTCTGAGCGTGATAGTTCCCGAATCGAACAAGTAGAATCAATATTATCAATTACCGTGATTTTAATTTGGATCGAGTATCAGTTGATTTTTACCATTTTTACTTTCCTATCTGTATACAGATATAAGGAAAGTATAGGAATCATGATTTTTTTCGACCTCGAGTTTTCGACGGATTTTTACGTTTTGAGGTCCCCTGAATCCGTTTTGACTATTTTCGCGATGATGTCTGTGTGTGTGTGTGTGTCTGTGTGTGTGTGTGTGTGTCTGTGTGTGTGTCTGTATAACGCATAACTCATGAACCGATACACAGAAAAACACCAAATTTTAAACTTAAGCTTTGTTTTAGCGTCCAATGAGCTGATTAGATTTTGGGCAGAGTCGGAACATCTGGGGGGGTACTTTATAGGTGGTCATTTTTATATTTTATGGAATATATCTGTTATTTACGTTTGGAGAAGAAAATTCTTCAAATAAAAGTTACTTCTAATATAATTATCTATAATTTTTGTTTTATGCAAAATTTTCCTAAAATGGTCCGTATTCGAGAAATTTGACAAAATGTAAAAAAAATAATTTTTTATAAAAATTGTTCAAATAAAAGTTGTTTGTAATATAATTCTCTATAATTTTTGTCCTATACATAATTTCTCTAAAATGGACCGTATTCGGGATATTTGAGAAAATGTGTTAATTTCGAAATTTGAAGAAAACTCAAAAACGGATAAAGGAAAAAACATTAAATTTTAAACTTAAGGTTTATTTCGGCCTGACGTGAAATGATTAGATTTTGGACAAAGTCGGAACATCTGGGGGGGTACTTTATGGGAGGCCGTTTTTATATTTTATGGAATATATCTGTTATTTATGTTTGGAGAAGAAAATTGTTCAAATAAAAGTTACTTCTAATATTATTATCTATAATTTTTGTTCTATGTCAAAATTTCCTGAAATGGTCCGTATTCGAGAAATTTGACAAAATGTGCAAAATTCTGATTTTTATGAAAATTGTTGAACTAAAAGTTGTTTGCGATATCGATTTCTATAATTTTTGTTTATATATGATTTTTCTAGAATGGACCGTAATGGAAAAGTGCTAAATTTAAATTTTTCTGTATTTTCGTTTTCAATGAATATCTATAGAAAAATGTTTCGAGGTAGATGCATGTGGAAAATGTATATATTTAGTTTATCCTCTAAACATTTATAGAGATGCTGCAATAGGTTGTACAAAATAACCAGAAAATGCCTATAATAACTAGATAGGAAAGTCATGTGTTGGACACATCAGATTTTTGGAAGTGATTTTAA